GAGACCGTGAGACTCCTATCTCCAATAAACCACCAGAAAACCGGAAGTGGCGCTGTAGCTCAAGTGGTAGAGTGCTCGCCTTGAACTGAAGAGCTTAAGGACAGCGCCCAGGCCCAGAGTTCAAGCCCCACGACCGAAAAAAAAAGAGTCTTACAGACTTTCCTGCTCGGGCTGGCTTTGAACCATGATCCTCAGATCTCAGCCTCCTGAGTAGCTAGGATTACAGGCGTGAGCCATCAATGCCTGGCTTGGTCAGGTGTATTTCTGTGGTACATTTTAGGCCACTGGCACAGCCTGAAGCCTTCCTGTGGGTCAGGTATGGGAAACATTGGGCCCTGGGAGTCAGACACTGTGCTTCTTGTGTGCTTCTCATTGGCTGTCCTTGCACATTGGCCTGTGATGATAATTCCGTATGGCCCCAGTGAGATGACAAATATCCAAATGGCTCTTGGCACCTTGGCAGATAAAAGGCTCCCCACGCCTGTTCCAGGGCTCTTTGGAGTTGATGGTGTATGCACATAACTTTCTAGCTTCTCAGTCCCCTCTGTACATCCCCAGTGTGGTAGCAAGCACTCCGCTAGCTTCTGCCATCATGGGTCTGCTGGTTATCAGCCTGTGGCCATGGGAACAATGAACTGATTTCTTTCACCAGTCCTAGGAGTGGACAGGAGAGTGGCAGTTATGCTAGTCGCTGTGGAGTTCAGTGGACAGGAATGTCACACATTTACTTTTTTGTGTGTGTGCCAATCTTGGGACTTAAACTCAGGGCCTGTTCACTGTCCCTTGGGGTTTTTTTTGTTTTTTGTTTTTTTTTTTGTTTTTGCTCCAGTGTAACACTCTATCACTTGAGCCACAGCTCCACTTCCAGATTTTTGGTGGTTAATTAGAGATAATTAACCACCAAAGTCCCATGGACTTAGCCGTCTGAGCAGGCTTTGAACCATGATCCTCAGAGCTCAGCTTCCTGAACAGCTAGGATTCCAGATGTGAGCCACTGGCGCCCAGACACACATTTACTTTTGCACAGGTGGAAGCAAATGCATTTTTCTCCCTTGTCTTTCAGGGAATGAACCTGCAGGGCAGGATGATGTCCCTGTCCTTGAAGGCAAGAAAGAAGATGCTGAGAATCTCCCACCGCCAGACTCCAGGGACCCTGAGGCCCCTCCTCAGCCCCCCGTCCTGCCCAGCGACCCAGAGCCAGCACCTCCCAGGAAGGAGCTGCTCAGCCCCGGTCCTCCTTCAGAGCATCCAAAGCTGCTTCGATCCATCCCCACACCCCTGGTGATTGCCCAGAAAATGTCAGAGAAGCTGGCAGGGAGTGATGCCCTCTCTCCCACATCCCCCTCAAAGGAAGGAAGACCCGGAGAGTGGAGAACTCTGCTATCTGCAGCCCCTCGAAACGGGGACCACCCCTTGTGGCACAGACACACAGCCCAGCCGTCCCCCAAGATCCACCGCTTCCCCAGCAACATCAGTGTGACCAACAGCTCAGGGAAGGATTTCAACAAGACCATCTCCAAAGCTGCTGTCAATGTGCAGGAGCGCAAGGCCCAGGTCTTGGCCAACATCAATGGTGTCTCCTTCCTGGCTTCGGGAGACATGGAAGGCCGGCCTCCGAGAGGCGATATCCCAGAGCAGAGGGACTTCTGCCCCGATCAGAGCAGGCCGGGCCTGGCCAAGGAGGCCGAGGGTCCCCGAGCAGGAGGGCCGGCCAGTGGGCAGCAGTCCCGGGCTGTGCAGACCGAGCAGCCCCCGCTGCTGGCCAATGGCTTCCAGAGCATCCACGAGGCACTGAAAAGCGAGCCCAGTGTCTTTGTCCCCACGGGGAAGACCATCACCTTCCGGCCTGACCCTGCCCTGACCAGCAAACTGGCACGCCAGAATGCCAGCCGGAGCCTGTACGAGCCACAGCCACCTGACTGCAATCAGAATGCCAGGAAGCGGGCTGGCTCTCTCCCCAGGGCGGTGGGCTTCCGACCCCAGGGCATCACCGTGCAGTTCTCAGGCCGGGGCTCCACGGAGGAGGCTCGGCGGGAAGCACTGCGCAAGCTGGGGCTGCTCAAGGAAAATCTATGAGCCCAGGCCACAGGGAGGCTGGAATGTGTGGGTCCTCAACCTAGACACAGGGATCTTCTCCCACAACCAGGAGCCAAGGCACAAAATGCTGCATTCTTAAAGGGGCGGAAGCCACAGCCCCCACCGCTGCCTGTGTGGGAGGGAAGCCAAGGCCTGGGCCCTCGCTCCTTGGCCCTCGCTTTGCTGAGCAGGGCATCCTTCTGTGAAAGGGAACCGGGCCAGTATCTTGTCATCTTCCTTTTCCTAAGGTCTCAGAGAGAATAACCTTTAAGGCGTATGGGTTTCCTTGGTTTGGAAGTGGCGTATGTGTTTAGATTGTTTAGGAGGAGGGGATTTATTATGTCTCTAGCCCTTTTCATGGGACATGAAAGCCAGTTTAGCTCTTTCTCATACTCAGGATTCTCTCCATCCCCACCCCCACCCCACCCCTGTTCTAAGACAGCAGAAAATTAATGCTTGTTCAGTTTTATACTTTAAAAAAAATATATATATATATCACTTTTTTTTTAAAGGTTGAAAGATTGTACTTTACCCCCTAGGCAAGCTTTTGTTTCTTGATATAATTTAATAGGATTCCAGGTTTTTTTTTTCCATCAAAATTGGAATGAAAATTTTAGAGTAAGTAAGGTGTACGTTTTTTAGGGTGAGGTTGAAAAAGGTAGTCATTTGGAGAAAGACCGTCTGCTCAGAACTGTCCAATCTGCGTTCCTGAGACAGGAGTGTGTCTGTGTTGTATGTATATATATATATGCACATAAGATGTGTTAACATATTCCTGGGTGTTGTGTGTGCTCACGTGCATGTCCGTGATTACATAAATACCAGTTCTGAAAACCCTGTTACGTAACTCCAGGATACCCGCGCTTCCTGCTCTCCGCTTCCCGCCGGCGCCTCAGCCATGTAACCAGCTGCACCGACGTCGTTGCTCTGAACATGGAAGTCTTCTAAGGACATGTGTCTGCGATATTTTGGTGAACCAGAAGTACTTTTTCCTCAACAAGGTGTTCTTTTGTTCCCAATTAAAGAAAGCAATGTTCCCTACTTTACAAAATAATCATCTTTGCTTTTGCACCCAAGATCACCACATTTTGGTTTTGTGCGTTCTGAAGTAGATACTGGGCAGGAGGGAAACAAAAGCTTCTCAAAGTCCTCCTGTGGGAGCACAGCTTAGAATCCATTTGTAAAGGGAGAAAAGATCGGAGAAGTCAGGGCCCCAGCCTGAAAAGAACTCTTGTAGTCCCAGACCGTCTCCTACAGGCTGAGTACTGGCCACAGGTATTACTATCACAACTATTGAAGGCTGGAGTCCTAAATCTCTAAAAATATTCAGGGAAGGGCAGCCCTGGAGAGCCACACCCTTCTGCTGGTCCCCGCCAGCCCTGAGACAGAGCCGGTTTCTTTCCTGTTGAGTATTAACTGAAATTCAAACTTCTAAATGTGCTGTGAAGGATTTATTCATAGTATTCCATTTGCCTTGTAAGTTTCACAAAATGAATGATGCCAGTTGCTTTTCTTAGAACCACAGTATTTTGTGTCTCATCCAGCCCTCGTTGGACTGTTTCTGATTAACTAATCTCTCATTTGTGATCGTAACTAGGTGCTTTACTCTTACAGCTTTTCAAAGTACTTCTTTTAAAAAATTTTACTTCAGTGTCTGTTGGATGTGTTTAAAGGATTTCATGCATGTTTCCTTTTTTACGAAGCGAGATGCCTTCCACAGTGTTTTAATAATTGAGGGTCTTGCTTTAGGCAGATATTTTAAGTATTCTTGATATATGAAGACTTTTTATCGTGTCCTATGATTTTATTGTGAACGTGACTATATTAGCATATCTACTCTTAAGACATTTCTGAAAAAAACAAATTTTGAATTTTATCTTGCATATTTGCAACCTGGGTTTTACATCATACACTACATTTTCAATTGTTTTCTTTTCTTCTTTTATTATTATTATTATTATTTTGCCTGTCCTGGGGCTTGAACTCAGGGCCTGGGCACTGTCCTTGAGCCTCTTTTTGCTCAAGGCAAGCACTCTCCCATTTGAGCCACAGCGCCACTTCCAGCTTTTTCTGTTTTTGTGGTGCTGAGGAATCGAACCCAGGGCTTCATGCATGGTAGGCAAACACTCTACCCTTAAGCCACATTTCCAGCCCCATTGTTTTCTTTTAAATGGTTAGGTCTATTCCTATTTATTCATACTTGCTATTTATTCTGGATTATTTTCTGGTTGTGTTGGAGTTTCTTGATAGTTAGGAGTCCTTGTCCTGCATGTGTGTATGCAGTTACCGCATAGTTGAGTTTGCTGAAGGACGGGAGTCCGCCTGTCATTCCATGCCCTGGGTGTCCTTGAAGGCCGTGTGGCTCAAGGTAACTCAAAGGACCATACTGCACAGCAAGATTGTAATGAAAAGGAAAGATGAATCCCAGACTCTTTTCAGGTGATGCTCGCCAGTTTTAGGAAACTCTCTTTCTTTATTTTGTATTTTTTGCACCTGTCCTGGGGTTTAAACTCCGGGCCTGGGCGCTGACCCTGAGCTTCTTTTTGCCACTTGAGCTTCACAGCTTCACTTGATTTTCCCTCCCTGAGAGAGCTGCCTGAAGGGAGGTGGCCCAGGAAAGAGCTGAGCTCTGCCGTGACACACAACACAGCTTGACTTCCAACTGATTTCCCAGTTGACTTCCAAGACCGGCTGGGCTTCTTGGCTGACTTGGGGTGGGCAGCACTGCGCAGGTCTCCACGGAGAACCCGCTTTCATGATCAGCTTGGCGGGAGTTCCCTCAGCACCGACCTGATCCAGACCATCTCAGAAAGGGACCTTTGTAAACCCCCCTAGCGCTCTGCAAGGATCTGGCTTCCTCGGGGTTCAGTGGTGACGTTTTCTCTGCAGGTGAGCTAAGAAATCCATTCTTTAATGATTATTAAAGAGGAGGAAGATAAGTATAACAATTTAGCCTTATCAAAAATGGTGTGCCTCCTGCCTGTGCATAATGAAGTCTTTGTTTTATTGCTGTGACATGTCACGAGTAATAAACTTTCTTTTTGTCCCTGAATTGCTACCTGGTGTCACGCAGTGATGGTGTCCTCAGGATGAACATAGTGGCTATTTCTTCTTGTCCCGCGCTGGCGGGAAGGGGAGCACGGGGGAGTGTTCACTGGGACAGGCTCGTGTTCTCCCTCCCCAATGACAAGTCACCAAACAGGTTTTGTGTCTTCTTTTCACAACAAGGCTTTAAAGTGTGGGGCGCGTGTCCCCATATCCTTTTCTAATCTAGTTGGACAAGCCTTGCTTTCAAATGTCTGAGAAAAGAGAAGACCAGGCTTTGAGCTGCTGCACCCTGGGAAAGTTGCAACTCTTTGTAATGGAGGCCGGGCCTCCACCCCCAAGCCCCGCCCCACAGTCCCAGCCCTCCAGCTCCTGCCTCTCCCCCCCCCTTTCTGTCCCTCTCTACCCCGCAACTCCAGGATCACCTGCTTTCTCAAGGCCTAAAGCCTTGGGAGGCCCTGAGACTCACATTTGCGGGACAGTTAAGTCCTCTTAAAGGTCCCTTTATTCAGGAAAAAAAAAAAAGCACACAATCGTTCATACAGCCCCAAATCCACAGGACTTGGGGAGGCCAATCCCCTGGCCTCACGCCTCTTCCTGTTTCTGGGGGTGGTGGGGAGTCTGGGAGGATTGCTTGGGGCTGCTTCCTGCAAGACTTCAACAGCTCCATGAGCTGAGACCATGCACCCTGCAGGCTGACAAGACTCACCTGCCCTTAACGAAGTTTCCTGAATCCCAGCGCTGTCTTAAAGCCATCCAGGCCCCCTCTGCCCCCTGGGTCTTATTGTGGAGGCTCAGGGGTGAGGGTGAAGCAGGGTTCCCCACACAACCCCACCCTACCACTGCCCACAGTCACGGCAGTGGCTGAACCTGTCCCACCCAAACCAAAGGGAAAATGCAGCTGTGGGGGCAGAGGCTCATGGAACTCAAATCACTGACAAACAGGTCACACGCCGTCAACTTTACCCTCAGCAGAGGAAGACTGCCAAGGGTAGTAACCTAAATTCTGTAAATTCCTTCAAGGGGTGGGGCTGAATGAACAAGGAACCCATCTGTATGCCAAGCAGGTGGCTGCTCTACCTGTTTGTACATGTGTGCTGTGCCCTGTGCGTGTGTGCATTGGATGTGTGTGTGTCCTTCTTGGTGACTGATTTCAGTGCAGTCATCATGTGGTTTATTACATAGGTGAGTTGCCCATGAGCGTGGCCACATGCAGCACTAGGCCTGCCCCGATCTACATGCAACCAGCATCCATCCAGAAAATGGCCCCGCCTGGGAGTGTCACTTTCAGAGAGAGGAGGCAGATGAAAGAGCTTTGGCACACTGTATTCATGGAGGCATCTCTCGCCTTCTTGCCTTCCACACTCACACCTAAAAGATTGCTTAATAGTGTTCTTGTTTGGGGCTGGGAAGGTGGCCCAGTGGTAGAGCGCTTGCCTTACATGCCTGAGGCCCTGGGTTCGATTCCTCAGCACCACATAAAAAGAAAAAAGCCAGAAGTAGCGCTGTGGCTCAAGTAGTAGAGTGCTAGCCTTGAGCTGAAGAGCTGAGGGACAGCACCCAGGCCCAGAGTTCAGGCCCCACAACCGGACCCCCCCCCAAAAAAAATAATAATAATGTTCTTGTTTTTCTGACACTACTGGGATTTGTACCCAGGGGCCTCAAGCTTAGCAGTTAGGTACATTGCCACTAGAGTCAGGTTTCCAGCCTTTTTTGCTTTTTTTCCCAAATAGGGTCTTACTTTTTTTTGCCTGCAGCTAGCCTTGGACCACAGACCCCGATCCTCCTATCACCTCCTCTCCTGCATAGTTGGACCACAGTGTGCTTCATTGTACCCAGCTTGTTTTTGAGATAGGGTCTCACTAAGTTGCTGGGCTAGACTTGAATTGTGATCCTCCTATCTGCTTCCCAAGTGACTGGATTATATGCATGGGCCACCACACCTAGCTCTTAACCTCATTCTTTTAAAGTCATAATCCATGATGGTGAAACTTTTTGTAA